AATCGATGCTCTCGATACTCAATTCGTAAACTCGATGTATTTCAGATATAAACGATGTATCTTAATAATTAAATCGTTCTAATAAATACGATATTGACGCGGAACGACGCAAATATCAAAGGATCTATTAATTATGATAGCATGTGTTAATTAATACTTCGCAAACTGATTCATCATTCTAATACACAACTCATACGTCATTGAGAAATCGCGCGGAAAATGCGGAAATCTCATTAAAACCAATACAATTTAGCATTCAATATTTTCTTTATATAACAAAACTTTATAACAGAATTATGTAAAATATACACTATATTTTTATAAATATTTGAAATTTATCTTGTTTGCAAATTTATTTTGCTTGCAAAATTTAATATCATCGCTCTTTTGCACACGCTTTGTATTATCTCATTCGATTATCATGAATTATACGAAAGAATAAGATTTTGATTAATTTTCCGTCCTTTCATAATTGGCCGTCAATAAAAAAATGTGTTGCTTTGTATTTGCATTTTATATTTATGTTTTATATTTTGTAATTTCAATACAAGACATATTATTAAAGAATGCTATCTCACTACAAATTAAACACGCACCATGCCAATTAAAAAGCGATATGATATTGCAACAATATTGCCGGATATACGTTACTTTTAAGCGATAGAAGCGCTTTTGTTTTTCTCCGATGTGTTTACGTGAAAGCATTATACCGTGGAGTTTCTTTCCGCAGATACGACAGCCTTACTGCCTCGTTCGCGTGCTCCTTAACCAACGATATCGAGGATCGCTCAATTCATTAAAATTGCAATGAAAAATTTCTTCGGTTCCGTCAGATATAATTGCCAGCTTTACGCGCTTGTCTCACTCGGATACACCTCAGTCTGGGACGCTTAAAATTCACATAAATTGATAACGTGATATACGTAACGCGTCTCGCGCATAAATCTTTTTTCTACTAATTACGACGATAAGAACGTCGTAAATCATCGAAATAATTGGCCGCGCACGGTCAGTCACGCATTCTGTGCGATCCTATTTACGTGTACGATCCTTTTAACGCCTGTCCTTCGCGCACAGAAGGGCCTTCATGACACAGCTATTAAGTTCTCAAACGCATCGGGCGAAAACCGATCCGGAAAAGTTCCTCTTGCTGCGACGTTTAGTCACGCTTAATCGACCATCAAGTGTGAACCGACAAGTGAATGAGCCCCGAGTTATCCTCATTAATCTTTTCCCCTCAATGCTTTATTTTAAGAGCTAGAAAAATCTACCAACCTGTTTGAATGCACACACAAAAAATTCGACTGATTAAATTATTTTTAAACTGACTTTAATGTCGCATTTCATAAATAAATAAATATTACATTGTAAACATAAAATGTAATACTTATATATTTTTAAGAAATTAAAAGACAAAATATTATATGGTATATTTCGTATGGAGATACGTACGTGTCTCAGAGAGAGAAAATCTGTAAAATATAACGTATTACATTCTATAATTAAAAATCTTATATATCGCTCCGTGCATAACAGGTAACTCTTTCGTTCGGAATTGAAGAAATTTGTCGAAGAGAAAAAATAATCGAGCGTCGAGCTAAATTAACAGCGGTAAGTTTCACGTACAAAAAGGAGAAACAATTTCCTCCGCGAGATTGCGTTCTGGCGCGAGGGCGCAGGATGCAGGAAACGCGAGTTGAAATCGAGGATGGATGCGCGGAGAAGAAGAGGAAAGCGAGGAGAAGAATCAAGGACGACGCAAAGGAGAGACCTACCAATAATAAGACTAAGTGGCGTAGGTTAATTGCCGAGATTCGTTCGAGCGGGATCTTCGCGACCGGTAGCGCGAGAAGCGGCGTAGGGTGTGAAAGAGGGGGAGGGGGGGAGGAGGGGAGCTCGGACGTGTGAGAAAGGCGCAGGGAGGCGCAGCCTCTGGGGAAGATCGGCTATCTGGAGCCCCAGAAGAGACTCGAGCGCAGGGACTATCGCACGCCGCCTCTTCAACGCCCGGCGAATTCACCTCCGGGGCCCCGACTTCGCCACCTTATTCTTCTTCTTCCATTTCTTTCACCTCTCCTTTCTCATCGCCTTCTTCCTCCGCTCCTTTCTACCTCGAGGCGAGGGAGGCACGCACCACGTGCCTACTTAAAAAATCAGCGCGGTTACCGAGGGCCCTAATTAATTTACATAGCGTTCGCGAAGAACGGGGAGGGGAGGATTCCTCACGGGTTACTACTCGTGTTACTCGGATTAATGTTGCCGATCGAATGCGAAGCAGTTAATCTTGTTAACAGCTAGCTGCAGCGTTCACCGAGACGCGAGGCCGGAGCTTCTTTTTAGTCGGGGAAGCCGCGTTCTTCTGCGAAACGGAAGTCGTTGGTGTCGATAATTTTCCGGAAATCAGCCTGCCGTCAATAATGGATTGGAAAACGAAAACGGCTAAAAAAACGGGAACGACAACGCGGTGTGATTTTATTAACATTTTCATCACATTTTCTAAATATCGTCACGATATGTCATAACGGAGAAAAAAAAAGAGAAAAATTAAAATTCTAAACACGCTCTATTCTATTCGAAATCCCACGAGAGTGGCGAGACGAGAAGAACCACACGGATGCCGAACGTACGGGCGCGGGGACCCCCTCCCCCAGATATCGGAAGAGATCGGGGCGACACTCTGCTGGAGACCCTCGGTAGAGATCTCAGGCCCGACAATGAATACCTATTAAAACGGTGTGAAACAATGCGCTGCGTCTTTCGCGCGCGTGCGAGTCTCGTCTTACGATATCGCAGCGGCTGCGGCAGCAACGGCAGTGGCCGGCAACAGCAGCGACGCAACAGCAGCAGCAACAAGAGCGCTAAGTGGAAGGCCTGGACCACAAGCTCGCGCGCGGGCTCCAGTGATATACTGCGAGATCCGCGATATCACGCGGAGGTAGCCAGCAACAGCAACACGTACACACGAGCGAGCGAACGAAGCAGCGTCACGGAGAAGGCGTCCTCCTCCGCACGTTCAATCCGGATTCGTGCCCGTGCATTACCTTGCATACTCTATTGCGCCCCCCCCCCCTCCTCTCGGTATATCTGCCATCTCGCTTCCTCGCGTCCTCTCGAAACGAGAATCGAGCCGTTCTCAAGCGACTCGCGCGTACGACCATCGACTGTGCTCTGTGTGATGCCCACCTTTTCCGCTAATGGACTCTTTCCCACCCGTTCCTCCTCCGCTTGTGCCAGTCCCTTTCGGAGGAAATATGCGTTTAGCGTCGCGTATGCGTTTAGCGCAGCAGTCGTATGTCTAAGGTTAATTATCTTTGTTTGCAAAATCAAGAGCTCTGGCTTTTCTCTTCGAAAAATTTTAGAAATTTTGAATTTTCATTTCAAAAAGAATTCTCGCGACGAGAAATATAATAAATAGCAATTCAATAGTGTATAAGTGCTAATTTTATATTCTTTTTTAAATAAAAATTGATAATTTAAATAAAAGATTTATGATACTTTCTTGAATCTTTTGCTATAGCTTATACTTTCGCGTGAAAAATTTTTAGACTAAATGTAAAGTTAAAAATAGTTAATTAAATCAATCTAATCAAAACTAATTTTATAAAAAAATTTTTAGACTAAATGTAAAGTTAAAAATAGTTAATTAAATCAATCTAATCAAAACTAATTTTATAAAAAAAAAGAATATTATAATTATTTTGTATCATTGTATTAAAAATTTTAGAAAATGTGGGAGAGATATACTTCAAATGATACTGACGCAATTCTAAACACACACACACACACACGCGCGCGCGCGCGCGCGCACACACACACACACACTAAAATTTTATTTTTCGCTTAGCTTGGTAATCCCTGGAATAAAATCAATGAGCTCGATTTCGTGTTGGCGCAAAAGTCACTTTGTTCGTCGCGAGATTGGAAACAAGGGACGAAAGCACGATGGCGGATAATGGTAGAGGAAGAAGACGAAGAAGCGTCTACCCATTATTCCGCGGAGATTCTTCGATTGGCCCTACCTGATTGCGATTGCAGATGAGATTGCACACCCGTGGTGCAGGAAGGCGTTCTCTCGCTCAAGTTGCATAATTTCTGCATAGCAGCCGAACGTATTATTCATGGGAGCGAATCAGTTCTTTTATTCTCTTCAAGCATAACGTACAATAAAAAAAAATCGCTTTATTAAAAAAAAATCCTCATCAAATATGAATAGGATAAACTGTAATAAACTGTATAAGGATTAACTGTCACTCACATAAATCCTTTTTCGTTATAATATTATTAATTGTATTATTAAATAATATCGCTTTTTTATATTTTTTATATTAATATTTTTGTCACATAATTTTAATTAATTCTTAAATATTTCTAAATTGTATTCTTCTTTAGAAATTTTTATTGCGGATAATATTGTTTTTTTTTCATTGTTTTATTGTACTTTATTAAAGAATTTGATTTCAATACTTTCATTCCCGTACAATGTGCAAAATAAGATTTTGCTATTAAGCTATCGACCAATGGATTGTGGAAGAATGATGGGTGAATTTATGGACCGCGCATTGTTTCCGGATTATATTGTCTTGAAAATGTAACGAGTATCTCGTGTGCTAACAGAAGATGGTGAATAGATGTCTTCTAATGAGCTATAGCGCATAGCTACAACTTAAAATATTTATTGTCGGTGTTCTACATTATTTCAGTAATAATAATGTATAAACGACGATAATAAATTAATAAATTGCAGTCCTATTAATTCCGTTTCAGATATATTTAATACGATATAACAGTAAAATTAGTAATTAATCGATAAGCGCGTAATGTTCCTTGAACATAAATAGTTGAAATGATATCAAAGTAATTTAAATGGATTCCTGAACGTACGCGATAAATTTTAGTAAATTGTAAAATATGCGTGCAATATTTACTTGGGTAAAATCAAAGTATAGCGTACGTGATAAATTGCGATAATATACGTGCACGATATAACTCAGAATACTTACCTTGAAAGTAGCTCTTAGTGCGGAGGTAGCTTACGCTGAGTCTAAGGATACTCAGTCGATCCAGCTTGCTGAGAATATTTTGCTCGAAAGGAAGTAACGATGCCAGCGTATCCAGCTCGGCATTTAATCGTTCTCGATGCCGCTTGCTGGGATTCGACTTTGTCACTCCGTCTTTCTGTGGTGGTTTTAAGCTGTAACAGGACAAATAAGTTCGTTATATAATACGTGTAATCGTTAAATTAATTTGAAAAAATAAAAAAAAAAAAGAGAAAAATTTTGGAGATATAGAGTCTTTCATGAATGTAATAAAATCAAAGATAGAAAAGATTTTCCGAAAATAAATAAATAACAATAAATGTATTAAAAATAATTTTATCTTTTCTAATTGAAACTTTAAAATTTATTCGATAATGTACAATCAAAATAAATTATTTGAAAAATTATTGTCCAACAATTGTTGTAATTTTGATACTCTATTGATAGAAAAGAAATTTTGAATTATCCAAAACATAATCAGCTTTCAGAAAGCTCTGAGAAACTCTGAGATCGCGAATACAAATGCAGTGGAGCGTCGCTGTAAGTGTCCCGATGACGCGTTGAAGCTTGCTAAAATAAAGCTGTTTTAACGCGCGGCAATCAACGATCTCGCTGGTCCGTGGCGATGAGGGTTCAATAACCAGCGGACTTTTGTTCCGAGTTTCACGACTAGAGGATTAACTTTAATAATCAATTCGCGACGGAACGGCGGCACGCCGACCGTTATGTGCTCGCGGATTTACATTTTACTCTTCATTACCGGAATCAGCGTGCGCTTCTCGTATCGTTAACAACAGGCGGGCCGTGTCTCGCAGGATTTCGATAATTAAAAGTTGCCGGTGTGCCAGCCGACCTGATTGACACCCTGCCGACACGTATGCGCCTCCGCTCCAGTCCACTTATCCTTAGGCAAGGATATACCTGCCAGGCTCGTAACTTGAAGTATTTACACCCTCGAGCGGGTCGCTCGATTCGTAAAATGTGCGAGTTATTTAGTAGCTATGACAGTGGTAATTGACAAGTACAGCTACTACTTGGTGGCCTGACTAGCACATTGGCGTAAATATTTTAGAGAAACGAATGCCTTTGATTTTCCTTATACCACGTTTAAAAAGCAAATTTAAATTTCTATGAATGAATTTTAAACGATTTAAAATTTTTTGTTTACTAATTGTATAATTCGTAATTAAATCGTGACAAATGTAAGTAAATTTATCATGATTCTCTTTCAAAAAAATATCAAAACCTTATTTTTACGCACGTAGTGCAATGTAGTGCATTTTACAATTCCGTTCCAAAATTCCAAAATTCCGTTCGAGCATTCCAATTTTTATCTTTGACCACAAATATATCTTTTCTTTTTTTAATTCCAAAACTCAATTCGTTTATTGACTCTCGTTGCATTTAATGCACCGTAAGTCATGTCGTTAACAACTTTGTGGATTTTCCGACGGCGTCATTGACTACTCGTGGAATTAATATGCAAAATAAAATTTTATGCATCTGACTGCGGACTATTTGTTTAATTGAAGCGTTCGCCATGGGAAATGGCGAACACGTCGCGGAACGAGTACGGAATACTCTTGGTCCCGTCAAAGACACCGCGCGGCCGCGCGATGGCCATTCTCCCGCAGGCCTATACTTAGGAATAATTATTATTCTTACGCGGTATACATATATATTTAACGGCCTTTGCGCGGCTTTTACTTGCGCTGCCCCGAGGAGCTCGCCAAGGCTGCGCAAGAAAACGAGATGGACACGTCGGAATGGTTCGCGGCCAGGACCAGTTCTTATCGCGGGTTATTAAGAAAATAGTGTTAATGAGATGTCACTGTGAGTGTTGCCGTCCGCTCCTAGAGATGCTTCGAGACTGACTGACCTGTTGTCTTTTGGCTTTTGTATGTGTCTAATATATTCTAATGTATTCTGCTCGCGAAAAAATTAATAAATTAATAAATTAATAAAATTACATAAATTAACATCTGTTGTAAGAAAATTGTAACTGACAAAAATAACTTTCAATATTATTTTTCTATTTTGATTGCTTGGAAAAAGTATAGAAATATATATATCTTCTATTTCATTATTAGATTTAATATATAAAATTTTTACAACATAAATAATTTTGTAAAAACACGCAATTTTTTTATTACATTACGTTACCTTTATAACTATGTCTGTTATTATATAAAATCTTAAATAGATACATGTCTTTAAAGATGCGATAATTTCAATGCTAATATAAACCCATAACAAAAGAATGCATTGTAATATCAAAGTATTTGAGAATAACGAGATGTTGATACTAAAATTGACAATATAAACACATATAGCATATCATCACATATACAAACTGTTAAACTACGATCACTCAGTAGGGAAATTATCTTATACCCTAACAGGTAGGAAAAATACTTGGAATTTTATTTTTATCCCGTGAGACGTACTTTTGGTATCAAGATGAATTCATCAAATATAAGACATCATTCATTGAGAATTTTTAATTAGAATTTAAAAAAACTAATGCAATTCCATTCCGTAATATTCATCTCATCAAATAAATGTTATTAATGTTCATAATTTTATAATATACTAATCAATCAAGGATTCAACATATATCCTTATTATAATTTAAAAAAAATTCTGTAAATTTTAAATGTCTTGTTACTTTATACTCAACTTCATTATTTTTCTTATTTTATCCTCTAGTATCCTGTGCTCGGAAGGACTGCTCCAAGGCAGTCTATAAAACTCATTTTTAGAAGCATACGAGTCCAATAGACCGGATGAAGAACGTGGAGTTAATACCGGACCCACGTATAGTCCATAATGCCGCGCCTGCCCCGTCCACGGGCCCACGGTAATTAGCTTTGTTTTATCGAGGAGGACGGAGAGGAAGGAAAACGAAACGTCCGGCGAAACACTAATAGCATTCGAATAGGATTATTCCTCGCGGACCTCCGTCACTCCTCGTCCCAGATAATGGATTTGGTGTCGTCTAATAATTAATAGAGTGCTTCTCGGCGTAGCCGTGTCGCACAGTATACGGCCGACAATCCCATTCATCACGCTTTCTAATCCCTAAGCATTTTAATTAATAGCGTCGCTTTTTTCGACGCGTATACTGCGTTTCTCGTTTACAATGATTCGCGGTTTCTAAGAACGACCGTACCTTCAGCCTCCAACGACTAAATTGTGAGTTGTCGATTAAAGAATTCTGTGAAATACACAATAATTCGATCTTCCGCTAGGTCTGATAGATTTGAAGAAACATTGCGTGATAAAATATAATTTTTATCACGCTTAATTTTAATTTCTTTAGAATTAGAATTTAAAAAAGTTTCCAAAGGAAAGTGTTTGATGTAAAATGTTTAAACAATAGCTTCCAAGTCGTATAATAATTCAAAATTGATATAATATATAATATAATTATATAAGTTAATATTACATTAATGTTTATATATATGAATACCAAGAAATAATTTAGTTTATTTTGCAATGTCTTATTAAAGATTAAATAAATTTATAAATCTGTATACTTTATGTGCATTATTTATATACACTTAGCTAATTAATCGAGCGTTCTAATTGCATCATAAATGTCAAGATTATTCAAACGACGTGATATCGAGTGACATGAAGATAATACGATTTGGCCGAGGAATTTCACGGGGATAAGGTAAGACTTAGAAAGCGTCTATAGAAATAAGAAATCATGCAAACGTAACTGCGTACGATATGAATACAGACGGACCCTGATACGATCATAGCTACCTCGGAAATACAAACGAGGCCCGACACTATGCCATTATCTGTAGATGCACGGTAACTGTACCTCGATGACAGATGGATAAAAAAATTATAGATCTGAAGAAACAACGCGACGCTTCCCATAATATCGCCTCAAGAATATATACTCTGTTATGCAATTGACATTTATTCGCTGTGGCACGAACACGAAATCGTTCTATCTGTTTGAGACCATTTTCTTACCTGCTAATGGCTAACTCATATTGGAAACAAAGAAAACCCATCAAAGTGGTACATTACTTTATTTTTATGTGCACAATTAATTTTTAAGTATTTTAAATGAAGAACACTAGTCGCGAAGTGAAATGCGTGTAAGAATAACGGTTGGATTATTCCGTCTTGAGTATTATCGATTATTTCGATCAAGCTAAAAATGACGCATGATTTTGGCTCAGTCAGGTAGGCCAGGTGATAACGTGTCAAGTCCTCGCGCCCCTTTCCGATAATCCACACGCATAACGCATTTGTAGCATTAGACCAGTTGCGTAGATGCGTATCGACTCCGCGAACCGTGACACTGTAACGCACTCGAAACATACGTGTGTGTGTGTGTATATATATTTCAGACTCCGCTTAATGGCCGGCAATGTTGCCATGGTCGTTAAGGAAAGGTCTCCTGGCAATTTTCATCCCGGAGCACTACTAGAGTAATTTTCGATGACGTTTTCCTGGAGAGACCTGAAGTTCGTCGACTTTTCGAAGAAAATCACTCCGTGCTGAGCCGACAAAAATGCATCATGTACGAACAAAATGCATGTCTTACGAAAGCGAAGAGGAAAACGAATTGAGCAAGAAATAGTGCAATTTATTAAAGCGTCTTTTTATATTTACGTACGTTTTTTAGAGAAAGACAATTGAAACTTTCACGAGAAAATTTACGATTCGTTATTACAATACGTAATAAACTTAAAAAAACGTAAAGAAATTTTTTATAAAAAGAAATAGCAATGCAAATGTATAATAGCTAAATGAAAATCAGATAGATGATTCTCGAATACTCGTAAGCGCCGAAAAACGTAATAGGTAAACGATTGTTCGATTAGAAATTGTAAATTAATCGCATTCTCCTGCCGGCTAATTCCGTAAGCGACTGACTGATTAGAATTAAATAACATGAGTTACAAGGTGGCGCGTTCAGACGGTCGGAAGCTCTCACCGCACGCCATCCTCGAATCCATCAGGCGGGTAAATCCCAGTCAAGGTTGCCTCGGTGCTCGCATTAAAGTCTGTTTTGTACATTGCCATCCTTCGCGCGCGCGCGAAAAGCGGAAGACCGGTGGACAAAGAATGGCCGATGACTCGGAAACTATGATCGGTCGATATTTTAAGAGCTTCGAATAAAATC